AATAGACATAGACAAAAATCTTGATTCATTTGGATGGAAGTTGTGTCTACAGGATCCATTACGTGATTCTTTTCCTGACAGGGTTTGCTTTTTGGTGATTTCTCTTCTCTTCCTCAGCTTTTGTTTGCTTCCTCGCAGGGGGCAGTGTGAGAGCAGTTCACAGACTTAGAATGTCTAGTGCTTATTTGTTAAAATCTACAGCTTAAAACAAGTGGCGAAGGAAACCGAATTGAATGCCTTCAAGCTTCATTCTTTTTATGACAGAAAAATGGACAATAGCTCCCCTTCTGAGGTCTGAGGGACTCGCTGCACATTGTTCCCATCCAAAAGTTACTGAGCTTCCTCGGAACATTCACATAGTTGTTGGTGTGCAGAAGGCTGTTATCAGCGATAACTAGTTGCCGCACCACAAGCCAACCTGCTATATATTGCCAGCGGGATCTCATTCTTTACACATGCTTCGTATCAGCTTGATTGCAACTAGTCTACCAGCTATAGGAAAAACATTGTGAAACTTGAAAGGGGTAGGAAAAGATTTACAAAGATGTTGGCAAGGTTGGAGAGATTGAGCTATAGGGAAAGGCTGAATGGGTTGGGGCTCTTTTCCCTGGAGCATCAGAGTCTGAGTGGTGACTTTATAGAATTTTCTAAATCGTGAGGGGCATGGATAGGATGAAGAGTCAAGGTCATTTCTCCAGGATAGGGGATTCCAAAACTAGAGGGTATAGGTTTAAGATGAGAGTTGAAATATATAAAAGGGACATGAGGGGCAAATTTTCCATGCAGAGCATGGTGTATATATGGAACAATCTGCCAGAGGAAGTACCGAAGGCTGGTACAATTTCAACATTTGAAAGACGTCTGGATGGATACGTGAATATGAATGGCTTACAGGGATATGGGCCAAATGCTGGCAAATGGGAATAGGTTTGTTTTGGGTGTCTCCTTAGCATGGACGACTGGGCCCAAAGAGACTGTTTCCATGCTGTACATCTCTATGACTCTATGATTATAAATCATCTTTCCTGACTGAACAAAACAAAAAAACGTTGTGCGTACACCACTTGCAAAATGTCTTGGTAACGTGCTTTTAATAGGCGCACCACTCTCCCATAGTTCTTTATTGTTTATGTTCTTAAAATCGTTATTTTCCCAATTCATACAATTTTTAAAATTCGGAGCAGGAGAAGGCAACTCAGCCACTTAAGTCCTCCTTCTCATTTGATTTGATCATGGATGGTCTCATCTCAGTCTCCACTCCACTTTCCTGCCTGGTCTTCAATCAGAATATACAGCATAATGACTAGAATATAAAATCAAAGCAACAAAAAAAATCTCTAACAGCTGCTTTATTTTGTATGTGACTACTTTCTAAAGGAAGTAATGTGAGTACAGTTCCTGGCATAATTTTCGAGCCAACCAGTGTACATATTGAAACTGTATAGAAGAAAATAACGCGCCGTCATTTTGCATTACATTAAATTTACTTCTCAGCACACGTTACTTATTGAAGCACCTCTTTATCACCACTGCAATGAATTTCCACTTTGAAACAATTCAGAGATATACTCACAGCCTCATTCAATCGGATGGTGTCTTTCTCATACCGATCTTCCATCCTTGCTGACCAGGCGCTTTAATAATCTAGGTGCAGAGCTGGATGAACACAGCAGGCCAAGCAGCATCATAGGAGCAGGAAGGCTGACGTTTCGGGCCTATAGGGTCTAGGCCTGAAACGTCAGCTTTCCTGCTCCTAT